TTCCCACTTCTGTCCAAAGCCTTGCTGTCAGTTAGACCAGGCCATCCTCCCTCCCCTCCCCTGGTTAAACCACACTGGTTAAAATAGCTGTTGGTCTGAGCCTCCCAGCATCACCCTCTTAGCCAAGATTTCCTGATCATAGTCATGGGGTACAGACGTCTGGACAGGGCTCCAGCCAATTAAAAGTGGGGAAGTTTCTAAGGTCCCTTCCCAGATGCGACTCATCATTTCTATCCAAAGTTCAGTTTTGTTATTAGTTGATGTGGATAGGTCTTCAGCATAAGCAAAGATCTTCAGGGTGTTTAGCACACTCACTTTATAAATGCTGAAAAGTGGGGGAGGGTGCATCAAGTTAGGCAGCTCATTGCAAGTTCATGCTCTTTTTTCTTGGAAATGTAAATCTGATTACAAAACAGTTTGTGGTTATAAAGATGTTCTGGAAAACCAAAATGATGATGCTAACTTACTCTTAGCCATTACCCTGTGGCCAGCAAAAAAAATTAAAAAATAAAAATAAAAAAAAAATAAAAAATGCTCTTAATGTTTTAAGCAATTTTATTCTGATTTTTTTTTTACTATGCACAAACATAAGCACTTTATTATCTACAATACAGGTTATAGCTTCTAAAATGAACTTTGCTGGGCTGGCAAGAAGGCTCAGCAGGTAAAGGCATTTGCCACCATGCCTGAAGACCCCCGTTCAATCGCTGGGACCCACATGGCAGAAGGAAAAAACACACTTCTCTAAGTTTTTCTTGAGAAGGGTTCTGTAACACACACACACACACACACACACACACACACACACACACACACTAAAAGTATTAAAATAAATAAAATCAACTTTGCAAGTAAGAATTACCACTGTGCTATTTTATTTTTTTTTCTTTTTGTCTTACTTTTCAGACGTTGTCTTGAGCTGGAGAGATGACTCAGTGGTTAAGAGCACTGGCTGCTCCTCCAGATGACTTGAGTTCAATTCCTGAAACCACATGGTTGCTCATAACTGGCCATGACTCTAGTCCCAGAGGAACCGACACCCTCTTCTAGCCTCTGTGGGTACCAGGCACAAATGGGGTGCACAAATACACACAAAAGCAAAGTACCTGCACACATTTAAAAAAGAGAGACAGACAGACAGAGAGGTAGGTTCGCAGCATGTAGCTCTGGCTTGTCTAGAGTTCAATATGGAGATCAGACTGGCCTCAAACCCCTGATCCTGTCTCTCTCTTTCTCTCAAACGCAAAAACTCCAGGTGTGACCCCCTCCCCCCCCCAGCCCAGCTCCCAGGGTGCCATTTTAAAGCAGCTTGCTCAGTTATTTGTGCATGAGATGAAGAGCTGAGAATGAACCATGAGCTTGTCACCACGCCCAGTGCTGGGGAGAGCAGTGTACAAACTACAGCCGGGTCAGGGATAGAGACTGACAGACAGACAGCTGTGCATAAGACCGTAGCTTGAGACAAGTGCCCTGGAGGACGTGGACAAAGAGAAGAAAGTAAAGGGCTGGAGACCGATTCTCTCCACCTTCCTGAGGTCACAGGGGTCTTCTGAGAAGATGCTCTTACACAGAGACAATGTTTGGAGATGACAAAAGCCTGGTCAAGTCACTGGGTGACAAGGCCTGTGCCTGCTCTATTACTGGTTGATGTGGTGAGAACCCACAGTCATCAAAGGTCCCAGAGGTGATTTAATTCACTAACTTTACTTTACACATGATTAACCTGAGGCCAAGCGGGAAAGAGCTAGACTCCCAGTACCAGCAAACAACAGAACTGGGGGCTGGGGTCATGGCCCACTGGGCCGTGTGCTTGCTGTGCATGAGAGCCTGAGTTCGAATTCCCAGAACACAAAATCTGCGGGAGGTGGTGGGTGCCTGTAACCCTAGGGCTAGGAGAGCGTGGATGGGTCATGGGGGCTTGCTGACCAGCCAATCTTGACAAAATGGCAAACTCCAGGTTCACTGTTGAACCCTGTCTCATAGAGTACAGTGGAGAGCCATAAAAAAAAGATGCCTGATGTCAGCTGTTGGCCAGTACGTGCGTGTGATAATGGAGTGGTGGGACGAGATGTTACTCTGTGGAATTCCCAATAACATGCTGGGATAGAGTGCAGTCAACCTCCTAGTTTCACACGCACGCACGCACACACACACACACACACACACACACACACACACACACACACACACACACGCCGTCCCTGTGCCATGGAAAGTCTGGAAAACACAGTTTCCAGTGTGAATCCCACAGGGATACAGATGTCTGCTTGCCTTTCACAAGCTGTGTGCTTTGGGAAAGCAATTTTCTCCTTCTGGGCTCTAGATTCCTTATGTAGAACATAGGACACTATGGAGTCAGGTTTGCTGCTTCAAGGTTCAATATAAAAAAGTGGAAGATTATAGTTTTAAAATATCACATTGAGAAGACATTTAACCTCTCCCATGCAGGAACACAGCAGTTGATGGTGGGTGGTTTTCCTTTCAACACATCAGGGCTGCCGTTACTAACAGAAACCCCAGCTCTGTGCGTGGAGAAACCTGGTCAGCAATTCAGCAGGCCAAAGCTGTATCAGTGTGGTTTTTCTCTTTAAGATACCCGATCTTCCGGTTCCCTTCAGAGCCTCTTTTACTACATTCTCTTTATTACATCACGAGGTCTGTGGGGGTTTCATTTTTAGCATGTGAACTGGATTATCCCACTGCAAATCTCCCTTGAGTTCTTGGGAAAATATGTGAGATTGATAAGCAGCAGGACATTTTAAAGGAAATACCCAACTAAGAAAGCGTTCAGGGTTTGACATAGTTCGCAGGGGCATTGGGAACGTCGTAAAAGGTCAGTTTGAAGACCACGTTTTTCTGTGGCTCAGGGACCTCCAGTGAGAGATTGCTGTTTTAATATCTTTGGGCCTTTCCATGAGGCTTCTTAAGCAGACTTCTCTTGTCCTAACCCTGCTAGGACGCCATACAGCAATTGGAAGTAGCTGAACTTAAAATAGCTCTACTTAAAATAGCCGGGTCAAAACTGTGGCTAGGGGGTTGGGGATTTAGCTCAGTGGTAGAGCACTTGCCTAGCAAGCACAAGGCCCTGGGTTCGGTCCTCAGATAAAAAAAAAGGGGAAAAAAAAAACTGTGGCTAGGGGATGGGGAGGTGGCTCAGGCAGTCAAGTGCTTGTGCTACAAGTATGAGGACCAGAGTTTGACCCCCAGTACCCACATAAAAGGCTGAGCACTAAACACCCTGTGCTAGGAACGGAGAGACAAGAGGGTCCCTGGCACTTGCTGGCCAGCCAGGCTAGCCAATCCCTGAGAATCAGCTTCAGTGAAAGACTCTGTGGAGATAGCTTAGCAGATAAAGGGACTTGATTTACTAGTCAGGTGACCTGAGCCTTATCCCAGAATGCATGGAAAGATGGAAGGAAAGACCTGATTCCACCAAGTTGTCCTCTGACAGCCACGTGCACGCTGTGGCTGGAGCCTCTCCCTTTATAAATAGATAAATAAGGTGGGGAATGATCAGGAAGACAACCAACATTTGATCTCTGACCTCTGTGTACACATACACATGCATATGCATACGCATACACACAAACATGCACAAATGTACACACACACAGAGTCACGGACTCCAACCCTAGAAGTGGACTGACTGCTCCCAGATGGCTGTCACCACTGAGAGGCCTACATTCGCTGCAGCTTGCTGGCCATAGCATTTCCGAAGGGAGCCAGTCCCATTGCCAGGGGCTCAGAGCTGCAGAGGAGAGGGCTTAGCACTGGGATTCCAGCCCTCAATTCTGTCCTCCAAGGCTCTTTTCTCTTGGCCAGGTGTGGTGTTGCACACCTACAATCCTAGTACTTGGCAGGATGAGACATCAGTTCGAAGCCAGCCTGGGCTACATAGTAAAACCTAGTTCCCCAGGTCAATTAAAATTGTGTGTGTTTGTGTTTACGTGTGTGTGTGTGTAAAGGTCACAAACCTGGAAAGGGGATTGTGGTTGGAGAAGAGGAGAACTTAAGGGAAGAGAGAAATAGGAGGTGAAATGGAATGTCTGTGATGAGAGAGCAGGAGACGGGACTAACTGGGCAAGGAAAGGGAGCAGACAGACTGTGGGGGAGGGGACGAAGGGGAGAGCAGTGGGGGAGGGGAAGGAAGGAGACTGAAGTATGACGAAAATGCCGTGACGCAACTCAGCGCTCTGCACTCAAACTTCAAGTAATACCTTTTATAAGAGAAAAGACACAACAAAATATCCATGTGGCAAGAACGTGATGAGTAATTCCTTACTGCTGGCTGGGCGTCCAAGTTCATGGACGCGGTCCAAGTCCAAGCACTCGTTATTATAAGCTGGCTTCCCTTTGAAAGTGAGCACTTGCCTAGCGTGGACCTGGGGTTCATCCCCAGTGCCTCCAACGGTAAAACCCTGCTTGTCGGCACGAAGCCTGATCCTCAGAGGATCGAAGAAGGTGCAGGAGAGACAGGGAGCCAGCCTCTTCTGCCAGTGCCCTGGTCTCGGACCAGAGGTTTCTCCTGGTCGGTGGAGAAGAGTTCTCGGGATCTGAGATCTGCTCAAAAGTTCCTTCCAACAGCTTTTCCTTTGGAGTTGTTTACTCTTCCCGTACTTCAATTCTTCTTGTCCGGAGAATGAATGATAATGTGACCATTTTTATAATTTCAGACATTTACATTTTTATAACAACAATTACCAAGCTACGGAGATAGCTCGGTGGTAAGAGCACTTGCTGAGCAACTATCAAGACCTGAGTTTGAATTCCCAACACCCAGGTAAAAGTGAGGCCATGTGTGCCTGTAACGCCAGAGCTGGGGGGTGAATGGCAGAGACAGGCAGATCCCTGGAGCTTAGCAGCCTAGTTGAAACATAAACCTCAGAGTCAGTGAGACAACCAACTCCATTTCAAGGGAATAAGGGGAGAATTTCGTCCTCTGGCTTCCATATGCAGACGCTCATCAGTGTATACAACACACACACACACACACACACACACACACACACACACACACACACCTCTACTTCTAGCTTCAATGCATGCACAAATGTACACACACACAGAGTCACGGACTCCAACCCTAGAAGTGGACTGACTGCTCCCAGATGGCTGTCACCACTGAGAGGCCTACAT